TTCCCCATAACCAACCACATTAATATAACATACCCACCAACTAACCAAATACATTTTCTTAAAGATTCCCAGTAATCTTTCAAGGTAATCTATCTTTCCAGTAATCCAATATTCTCAGTAATCTAACATTCCTGAACCAAACGCCCCCTAAATGTTATATTAATGGAAAGATAGATTACCTTAAAGGTTACTGGGAATGTTTAGGGAAATGTGTTTGGTTGGTTGGAATAAATTAGTGGGTATGTTATATTAATATGTTTAGTTGGGAGGAATAAATTGGTAGGTATGTTATATAATTTACTAAATTGCCCTCCTTTTTAAATATTATTTTTATTATTATTTTTTGGATAATTTCTTTTAAACCCCCTACATTTTTAGATTTAGCTAAAACACCCCAGCAACAAAAAAAGTTTAAAACTTAAAAAAATACCCCCACCCACCCCAAGCCACTACCGGTGGCCTGCCACCATAACCGATGGTGGCAAAAGTGGATGTCTAGCTGTGAAAGGCCAGATATTTGGCCGTGAAACGACGGCCGCTTCACGACCAAATATCTAGCATATCCACACATATATGAATGATTCTATATGTAAGATTACCGGCTTCCATTTTACGAAGTTGCAACAATCCATTGCAAGGAATTCCGTTCTTATAGGAAAATGCTCAATACCCAAGTAGGCTTACAAAATTGATCATGATCAAGAGCTTTCTAGGTCGTCTTAGCCCTTTGGATTCACCCTTATTCCCAAAATAGATCGAGATGGGATTTATTTTTTTCGCGTACAAAGGATTTACTTGTTACTAATACAATCTAGCCGCTGCTCTTCTTTAGATCCCTTGTTCACTCTGATAGTATCATAAATCGGATCGATGCAGAAGAAATGAATGCATTTCCATACTATTAAGTAAGTAAAATAGTTTCACGACCAGATCTGTGGTTGTTTCATGGCCAAAGATGTGGCCGTGAAAGGCCAGATCTGGCTGTTTTTGGCTATGGAGCACAGATCCATGGCCGAAAACAGCCTTATCGTTGCACAGTCAGCTAGATATGGCTGGTCGTGTGCCATTCTGTCGCCGTCAGTGGTTGCTGATAGTGGTTTCCGGTGGCTGGCGGTTGTGGCCAGATCCAGCCACCACCCTTGGGTAATTTTTTATAATTTCAAGGTATTTATGTCCTCAACTTTGTATATAAGGATAAAATAGTCAATTGGTATTTTTATAAATTGTTTTTAAAACAAGGGCGTTATTATCCTAAAAATTTATTAATAAGAGGTAAAATTGTAACAAAAATAAGATAACCAAGTAATCTTAAAATACCTAAGAAAATGGAGGTAATCAGATTACCTCCAATTTACCAACAGTAACTACTTTTGGTATTGGAAGATTACCGAAATCTTATATTACTTAACAACCAAACATGGTAATCAGGTAATATAAGATAACATTACCTCAATAATCCCATATAACCCCCAACCAAATGCATAGTGATGGATTTGACTTAACTGGGTGTATTTTACTTGTTCTCCTCTGCGAAGGTTGATAAATACACTAGAGGCATAGTAGAGTAGTACATTTGATTGATGAACAAGGTGACATGTAGTGTCCAACTCACTAATCCGAAAATTACACTTAAGGACAATGGTTGGTGCCATTGGTTTGTTGGCTTTGTTTACATTTGAGTTTAATAGTTGGTGCTATTAAATGATGCAAATTAAAGTTTCCTGACCTACCTAATTATTCTATTTTAGCTTATTCGCCCCCACGAAGGTTTGAAATAGAAATGATGGGATTTCGGCCCACTAGGGAGACCAACAGGACTTCCCAAGTTTAATAGTGAGGGCTATTAGGCTTGAGTAAAATAGTGGGAGTAATTGATTAATAAAAGGCTATATTCATTAATATAATATAATATTAACTCTGTTTATATTGCAATATTGTAGATTCATTTTTCATAATGGCCACACCTAACTTGACACTACGATCGATCATTGAACAAGAAAACAAGTTTGATGGTGATAATTTCTTAGACTGGTATACACATCTTGAGATTGTACTTAAGTCTAAAAATAAATTATGCACCATTAATTAGGCTATGTTTCTTGAACGTGTTGATAAATCCACCCAACAACAAGGAGACGTTTACCAAAATCATCTGAATAATGCTAATGTTGATCTTGTGAGACATGTTATACTAGCATCAATGACAAGAATGCTACAAAGGAAGTATGATGACATGGATTTATCTACCATAGACTATACCCTTCGACAAAAGGAAAGATATAAGCTGTCTCAAAAGTTATTCAAGTGCAAGATGGAAAGAGGAACCAAAGTTGGCCCTCATATACTCAAGATGAAAGAGTGTATTGAGATGCTTGATACTTTGGGATGTAGTCTTGATGAGGATCTAGCAAAAGACTTAGGGTTATAGTCATTGCTAGATACCTTTTCACATTTTATCTCTAGCTTTGTCAAAAGTAATGAGAGGAAGACTCTTTCTGAGTTTCTGAATATGTTGGAGACTGTAGAGCTAGACATGAATACATCTAACACTATGATGTTAGTTGATGCTAACTCAAGTATGGACAAAACTAAAGCTCAAGAGTCATTAGGAGGAATCAACATGGACGAGAAGGATGTTTACTCTCACTATGGCAAGTTGTCAATAAACAACCTTGACATGCAAGATCTGTCACTACCTTCTGATAGAGTCATTTAATGCTATGATAGTCTTATCGTATTATCTATGCCCTAATCAGGATAATACTGGGGCCACAGATGTTTCTAGAATGGCCACCATAAGTGATCATAGGGATCTCACAATCAAGACTTATCACTGCTTGATTCCCTCGTCACGGTTCAACCACTCTAAGGGCATATATTAATACATACATATGGAATATGATTTACATAATATAAACAATGCCTTTTTATAAATGGAATGATCATGATCTATAGAGTCAATATACAACAATATGATTGGCTTTAGGGCACCTACTCTAACACTTGTGACTCAGCACATCGACGTAGTAGTCTATCAGGACAATGAACCCAGAACCATGATGATGCTGTATTGGATCCAAATTCCGAAAAATTGTTGGAAGCCATGAAATTTGAGATGGACTCCATGTACCAAAACCAAGTATGGATCTGGTGGATTCACCCGAAGTGTTCTTATAAGGTGTAAATGGGTCTTCGAGAAGAAGACTGATATAGACGATAACGTGCAAACCTATAAAGCACAACTAGTTGCTAAAGGTTTCAGACATAAACATGGCATTGATTATGATGAAACTTTTTCTCCAATTGTGATGTTAAAGTCCATCCGGATTATGCTAGCGATTTTTGCAAACCATGATTATGAAATTTGGCATATTGATGTAAAACTGCTTTCCTGAATGGAAACCTTGCAGAGGACGTTTGATGGTTTTGTTCTTGATAGACAAGTAGAAAAGGTATGCAAGTTGCAAAGATTCATTTATAGACTCAAGCAAGCATCAAGGAGCTAGAACATTTGTTTTGATGAAGTCATTAAGGAATTCGAATTCATCAAGAATGAAGACGAGCCTTATGTATACAAGAAATTTAGTGGGAGCGTAGTGACATTCCTAGTATTATATGTAGATGACATACTAATCATTGGGAATGATGTACTGAACTTGCAAATGGTAAAAACTTGGTTATCCAAGTGCTTCTCCACGAAAGACTTAGGAGAAGTAGCCTACATCCTCGGTGTAAAGATCTATCAGGATAGATCTCATAGGTTGCTCGGCCTAAGTCAGAGTATGTGTATAGACAAAGTACTTAAGAGATTTAGTATAGAAGATCTAAGAAAGGATTTCTTCTGATGTCACATGACATATATCTCTCAAAGAATATATGTCCTAGGACACAAGAAAAGAGACATAAGATGGGTAGGATTTCGGATGCCTTGGCAATAGGATCTATCATGTATGCTATGTTATGTACTCGATTTGATGTCTCATGTGTCTTAAGTATTGGTAGTATATATCAATTAGATCCAGGGGAACAACACTGGATGGCTGTCAAGAATATCCTTAACTACCTGATGGCTGTCAAGAATATCCTTAAGTACCTAAACGGGCTAAGGATGCATTCTTGGTTTATGGAGAGGAAGATGAGCTCACTGTAACAGAATACAATGATGCTAATTTCCAGACTGACAATGATGATTTTCGATCGTAGTCAAGGTGTGTGTTTTTTTTCTAAATGGGGCTGCAGTGAGTTGGAAAAGTTCAAAACAAAGCACTGTTGCAGATTCTACAATGGAAGCTAAGTACATAGCATCATCTGATTCGGCCAAATAGGCGGTTTTTGTTGGGTTTGGCAATGAATAACGTAGAATATATTTTAATACTTTCTTCGATAAAACCCCAATCCAAGATCAGGATTGATATAATACAACCATTTAAAGAACCCTAACTAATCCATTCAAGGTTAAAAACAATATCTTCGTTGATGGCTCCTTCAATTGGATTAGGATTCAGACTTCGCAAGTCGATTCAAGTGTAGAATCAAGCAAAACAGTGTCCACACAAAAGCAAGACAAGATCACAAACGAATCAACTACTAGATTGAATCATTTGCCCTAAGAGAGAACACAAAATTGAGAGAGAAAATATTTCTCTCTCAGAGGGAGCAGCGACTAGAGTTTTGGTATTAGAAGATTACCGAAATCTTATATTACTTGACAACCAAACATGATAATGTAAATAATATAAGATGACATCATTAGAGTAATGTCAAATACCCTAAACCAAATGCACCTTATAAGTAAATTGTAGTAGAATTGATCAATTGGAGTTTCCATTTGGGTTTGGGCTTTACTTCAACCCGAATCTAAGATATTGATTATGATCATGAACATTAAACACGACCAATTTATTCGGGACCTACTGGAATTCGTGGAGCCTTTTAAATAAAGAATCATAACAAAAATTCAGTCAAAGTAAAGATGTAGGAGAAATCATCATCCTTCAAGAATCTCCAATTTTCATTAAAAAAAAAAAAAAAAAAGAGTAAATATCAAAGCCGAAGTTGAGAAGTAGATTGCCGGAATTCTCATTACAAAATTATCCAGAGCAGACTAAACAAACTCTGAATTACCTGTAAGCATCTAGTTAATACTCTCAACTATTGTTAATCAAAACTTAGCATAATCTTCTTATTCCTAATCACTGGACAATATATGCCTCAATATAACAGTCTTTTTCCTTTCTTTCGTTTGTCATACAAATCAGCCTGAACCAGATAGGTTAACACCACTAGATAAATCTAAATGAGTGTGTGTAATGGCATCTTTGATATCAGATTCTGCATCATTGGTAGCAGCAGCAGAACTACATATTTGGGTTTCAATAGTTCTTGGAAAAGCAGATCCTTCAGTTCCAGGTTCAGGTTCAGATGCAATAGCTTCTCCATCAAACATCATTACTGATAGGCTAGTTACTGGTGGAGAAAATGAGCTTATAGCAGCAATGCACGGAGCAGCTTCATCTACTGGGAGAGAGGTGTCATTCCCGCCAACTGTTTTGTTATCAAGCTCTGACTGTGGATCTTGTACTGTTACTTTCTTAGGAGAATTCTGCCCGTCAATAATATTGTTCATCCCAATTGGTTCAGAACAGATGGGTTCAGATTCAACAAATAAAGGAGTTGGGTTGTGTTTAAGGTTTCGTTTCTGCATCAAAATGCTGATTCCAATAGGTTCAGAGGACAAAGATTTGGGTTCAGCAGATACAGTAGTCTGGTTGTTTTCAATGTTCAGACTGACCACTTCATTGTGAACCAAATCATTTAACATTAGGTCAGAACTCAAAGCTTGATGTTCAACTTGAGACACCTGACTAGCATTTCCAGAAGATGGAATAACATCAACAAATGGGATAGACATGGGCTCTGATTCTTTTGAAGTATCAATGTCCATATTCGTTCCCTGCTGCAGTATATCCTGTTCAACAACTTTATCTTGTTTTAATTGTGCTATTATTGAAGCAGTTTGCCTCTCTAGCCTAGACTCTGTTTCCGACATTTGCTGTAACACCATTTTTTCTCCCAAGGAAAGATCTGGCTCATTCATAGGCAAGTTATCAGCTAAAGGTATTATCACAGAGGCAGATTGGTTCTCACCTACAACTGGGATGCCAGACTGAAGCTCAGAGGGTAAAACTCGATCTGGAAGTTTAGGTGCATCTATTTTAGATTCAGTAGCTTGCTTTTTAATTTGTTCTGATGGATGGTGCCGAGTTTGTAGGTTTTGAACTGGGATGGGTACCTCTTTTCTTTTGTACATCTTAGCATTTGGAGCCACATCATTTGCTGCAGTGATTGGAGTGAACCACCCCGGCAAAAATACAACACCCCTCAGCTGGGTCTCAGTGTCACCAACTTTGACATTAAGAAGATATCCAGCATCAAACGAACCTTCAATGACACCAGAAACCACCTGACCCACCATGTCATCAATGGCAGCACTACTTGCACCCACAATCTGCTTGTTTTTCTTTATAATGTCAGATCCAGGCAAGTTCTCCCCCTGTATTTGGGTATCATCTTTACGTGGACGACCACGTTTCCGTTTTACAGGGGCATCTGCTGGAGAAAAAGAGCTAGTTCCTTGACTCTGCTGGCTCATCTAAAACGAATTGATGCACAATGGCTCAAATTTATAATGGTCTCCAAGAATTTCACTCTGCAAAAGATAGAAATCTTTTAATCTTTTTCATCTATATAAAACCACTGATGGTCAAAAAGTTAGAACAGTAATCTATTCAATTGTAGAAATAACCAATTGACAATTTGAAAATACTATTGCCCTGATAGTTCAACAGTACAATGGTAGAGTCATAACAATCAATGTTCCGACAAAATTTGGCATACTTGAATATCACCTGGACTACTCAGAGAGAAACTGTACAAATCAGGTACACAAAGTAAAGGAAGCGACATGTCATGGTTGAGATAATCTAATTAAATATATGTTGACAATGGATGAAAAAGTTGAATGCCCAAACAGCAACTGTATTAAGCAGACACCAGCAGGAATCTTTGCTGATAGTAATAACTACTTTGACTGACAAGATTAAGTTTACATGTAGACATGTCCACAATAAGTACTTCAGACTTTAACAATTGTCATACAACATGGAAAATGATAAAAAAGAGCCCTATGAAACTGCTAAAGCAAGAGAAACTAGTTCCTCTCTTCCACTAACAGACAGGCCGATGGGGTGTGCGTATGTATGGGTTACCCTAAATAGGCCATTTTGGCAAACTAATTTCAATATCTACTAGCAAGAAGCATGAAGATAACAAGATCTGAAGAAAATATAGTAGGATACATCTTTTGACCAGTGTACTGTACAGTCATTGGTGGTTGTTTGCCAAATATTTTCAAAGAATTTAGATTAACTCTAATAGCTGCATGCTTAATGGAACTAAATGCAGTCAATGGAAAAAGGAGTCCACAAGTTAAACATAGTTAAAATTATGAATATCTTTTAGAAAATGCATCCATTTATAATAACTTAACCTAGCACTGATATGGAACAAGACGAAAGAATATCAGTGTAATAATAAAGACTTCAGACAAACAAGAATGCTTCTTGACAGGATCTGCAGTCCAAAATTGCTCCAGTAGTTCACAGTTTGAAGAATAACCTCAAAGAAATTTTTCTCTACCTTAAAGTGAGTATATTATTTCCACATTGGTGTCAAGGCATCTCAAAAAGTTCAACATTATATAACAAAACATTAAGAAGATATATACCAAATTACCAATAGGAATTCACTTTAAATGATAATGAATATGCTGTAAGGTTAGAAACTTATTATCTTAAAAAAATGAGCAATAAATGACGAAACTCAGCCTCCAGAGAGAACAAAATTAATTATGATGCATAATGTGGTCTTAAGATCTTATTGAGGTGCAATATCAATATAGTATCTGGAGGAGCATATATATACATACAACTGTCTGTTTTTCAACATAAATTTATACTAAAGCATGTGCATACATCAAAATGAAACTAAGTTAACAGTGCCATGTGCATACATCAAAATGAAACTAAGTTAACAGTGCCTATCCCAGTTCACAAAGCCCAACCTCAACTTAAGATATACTCTCATTCACTTGCATAGAAGTGAAGGAAAGCATGGCTAGGCATTAATAAATTTAGAACTTTTATAGCTTTATCTGTCTTTGGTGTTGATGTACTTTTTGCCCCTGATAGCCTTGAGAAAAGACAAATAATAAGCAAAAAGTACAATTGAGAAGTTTCAAAACACAATAAGAATCAACAGAAAGAAACAAGATTACATGAAACTTTCAATAAAATGACAGAAAGTGTAGGCAAGGACATTGACCTTCATACTTAGAAAAGCAAATATTTTTACTAATAGGTAGATTAAACAGAAAAGGAGATACTAACTATCCAAGTTAAACATTAGCAATAATTTAATAATACCAGAATTCAATCATAAAGCTCAAATAGCACTCAAATACAAAACAATGATCATCTAGCTTCATCCGAAAAGACATGAATACCATCATTTTGTTATCTTTCATGCCTTTTCCTATAATATTTGCATATTGTACACTTTTGATTTTGCTACTTCACTGAAAATAATCAAAGACCAAAAAAGCTACAGAACACTTAATAGACACATAATATTTTTTCCACCGTACCTACATAATAAATTGGGACAATCATTTAATAAAAGACAAAAATCAATGTTAACAACATAGAATAATTATTTACAAGAAATTCATTCTCATACAAAAATATCTAGACAATGCACGAGAAGATCAAGATTCGATGTCACTATGGTACGTAGTATCCAATTTAGAACCCGATCAACATGTAAAAAAAGACTATTATTTATATGCATTACAAATAATAATGATAAGCTTCCTTGAGCCTTCTAAAAACACATCAAGAGTTGAAATATTCTGCCATTACAAAAATTAAAAAAAAAAACTTTAGTATCTATGCTCATAATTTCTTAATTACAAATTTCATAGTATTCCAGTGGTTACTGACTTTTACCCATGCAAATCAAATCACTATCCAATTTTTACCAGCAAATCAAATCACTCAAACCAACCAACCAAGAAGCGACCCATAATACAAATGAGTGTAGCAGTAAAGATCAGACATCAATGGATTTAAACAGTCCAGTTTATTTTACTTATTTGCGTAAACAAAAATGTTATGCAATATAAAACCATACAATAAAACGTGACAAGTTTGTTTAATCTATTGGTCGAAGACACTTACGAACCTGCGTTTCGATGGACTTTGAAACCGCCGAAGGATGTCTGAAAATAAATCAACAAATTGAAAGTTTTCCTTTGGTTTTTTGGTTTTCTGAGTCGAGTTGCTCTTGTTATTTTCTTTTTTTTTTATTTATTATTATTTTCTATTTTTTCTTTGTCGGGGTCTGGTCCGATGTTGCTATTCGGCTCACAGGGTAGTGAAAATAACGGAAGTGCAAAGAAACTCGCGTTTACTGCTTTGGGCTATCCGAAACTGTCCATTTAGATCCAATGGGTTTTCTTTCGACTCAGGCTTTTTTTTATTTATTTAAAAAAAAATCTGTTTATATCTCGGTGTGTTTGACAATACTATTACAAAAACACTAATAATTAAACCTTTTTAAAGTAAGCGGATTGTATGCGCCAAAAATCACATTAGGTCTTGTCAAGCCCAATAAAAGAATAAACACTACATATGGCCCACCGCCATAGCCCAATCCTAGTAGGCTCCATGCTTAAGTCTATCTTATAGAAAGACCATCCAACGAGATGACCCAGTCTATAAGAAGGACTATTCTATGGGCCAAGTTATTCTATGATCTTGTCTACACTTGTAACGCCCCACTTGAGATACGCAGTTAAATTGTGTTGTATTACTTGCATGTTTATTGATTTGTTCTCATTTGAGTTTGCATGTCATTATTTTCAATTGGTTGACCCTTAGTTGGATTGATGAGTTGATTTGGTTGAGTGGTTGCCCTGAAATTGTAAAGGCTTGGCGAAGTTTTGGTGTTACAGACTTCACCGGGGCGAAGAATGATCTTCGCTGCGACGACGAGGTCCTGAAACCAAAGAGTTAGGTTCTGTAATTTTTCGCCGAGGTGAAGAAAGAGTCTTCGCCGCGACGAAGAACCGACTAAAATGTGTAGTGAGTTTCTAGAGAATTCTTTCTTTGGGACACATTGACCTTTCTACCCCTAATTACTAGGAAAAGTGGGGAGTGAAAGGTAAGGAAATTGCATGGAGAATAGTTTAAATGGGGGTGCATTTGCAAAGAAGTAAAGGGCAAAGGTGGAATTCCTAAGAAAGAGTAAGGGTAAAATGGGAAAGAGTTGAGAAAAGATGAGATATTAAGGGTTTAACCCTTTCATTCTTTCTTTTCCACCGTTTCTTCCATCCTTCAATTCTCTCAATTTTCATTCAATTTTCCAAGGATTTTTGGAGGGCTTTTGACTAGAAGTTGATACAAGTTGATCCTAAACACTTAAAGGTAAGAATCTTACTCTATATGTGAATTTTTGTTGGTATAAGAGTAGGATCCTTACTAAGTTTGTGTTTAAGGTTTAAGAGAAAGTATCAAGCCACCAAGAGTGGAGAGCTTAAGTGGATTCTACTTGAGTCTAAGGTAAGTAAATCCACCTAAGTTGTGATTTGTATGATTGAATGATGTATAAAGAGTTGTATATGATTAATGCTTGACTTTTTATGTTTGAAAGGTGTTGATGGATTTAGGAATGAGTTCAATGTTGATTTATGTAGAGATTTCCACCATATGAAGGGTGGATTGTGTTGATAAAATTTGGTAGAAGTGTGGATAGAATTAGAAGAATTGGAGAGGAATATTTGAAGTGTGTTTTCTTTGCAGGATGTGTGATGATTTGAAGGAGTTGAACTCCAATTTTGGGATGGTTAAGAAAGAAGTAGAATTATAGCTAGAGTAGAGTTTATGTATGCACACATATTGTTTGATGAAATGCCTAAGAGAAGCATGAGTAGAAGTAGAGAACCTTACTTTATGCAACATAGTATATTTGCATTTCATGAATGCATATAAGAAAGATTTTAGGCATGAGTCATCATATGCATATGTATATATGTGTAATCATCAAAGAAAGAAATATGAGTAATGAGAAAAAAGCACCCTAAGAAGAAAGATAAAGAAAAGAACTAATTCTCTTAGAATAAAGAGAGAGAAAGAAAGAATTAGCACTAGAGAATAAAATGAATAAAAGTGCTAAAGAAGAGAAAAGAGAATAGGTTGTGCGATGAGGAACCCGTGAGTGTAGAATTACCCGCATGTAAACCGCCGTGAGAGAGCGGTCCCCGCCATGAGAGAGCAGAATGAGAATGAGCAAAAGAATTCGTATAGCCCGTTAGAATACATGCGGATGAGGGCTATACACGAGAGAGAGAGTACACTCACATGGCTAAGGGTTCCGAATCCATGCATCAACCAAGACCGATCGGCAAAGAATAAAAGAATAAGAATAAGAAAGAATAAGAATAAAAATGAATAAGAATAAGAATGAGAAAGAAAAGAAAAGAGAGAAAATGCATTGCCTTGCATTAGTGCATATGCATCTCATCCGTACATGTTATCATGATAACCCTCATGGGTGATGAGAATAGAGAGAAAGAAAGAATAGAAAGAAAGAAAAGAATAGTAGAAACAGAGAAAGAACAAGAGAGTTTGACTAAGAGAAAGTGATAAGTGTAAGGAAAGAATTGAAGAGTGATACACAGGGATAATGGAGTAGAGAATTTACTTACTGATGTGCTCACCCCGTTGTTTTTTAGGTTTTGCAGGACATAGGTGAGGACGTGGTCGGATGGACGTCGGCAAGTAGGAGACTTGGCTACATTGTCCACTATTTTTTAGAGTCTTTTTGTACAATTGATATTATACTACGTAAAGAATGTATATATTAAGTAAAGAAATTTTTTTTTGGGCCCAACTATTTTGATAAGTATGCATGTGTTTTTATTAATATATTATATGAATATGATAGTAGAAAGAAGTCATTACAACACTACAAGTCAGCCCTCTCCACGAGTTGGTTTATTCTACGATTAAAGTCACCCTACGAATTGGGTCAATCTACATTTGGGCCACTCAACGAGTTAGGACTTTTTATAGGGTAAGCTAAACTAGGCTTCAGCCCATCAGTCTGTATTCATTCCAAAATAGGATTCTAAGTCCTATACACTTCCTAGTTTATCTGAGACTCCTAATCTTCAATGAACTAGTGCACCTAATCCTACATGGATTAGTACGACAAGTTTCTAGTTTACTCAAACTCCTATTATGAGAATGCCTAGTTTTATAAGGACTCAAGTCTCCTTGGCTCACTATATAAATAGAGGTCAACCTTTCTCATTACTCATTCAATCACAACCCCTCTCTCTAACTTACAAAGTTCTCCTTTCCTCGCTGTAGAGCCTAGTTTCGACTATTCTACTCCCATAATTGTCATAAAGTCGTGTTCTAGCTACTCTACGTTGATAAGTCATTGTAAGTAACCAAAGAACCATGGCAGCGGATGAAACAAAAAAATTTGGTTCATCGATTATTCGATTCCCATGATCAGGGTCTGATATATATATGTTTTACATACAAATATATAAGATGAATTAATCCAAACAAGGATTCATGTCATACCAGGGTTGAAGGCTCCTTCAATGTCTCTAAACTCTTCGCAAATCAATCCAAGAAAAGGACTACACTTATGATATCCACACAAAGGTTGGAACAATCACAATTGAATTAATTGACTAGATTAATTCAATTGCTTCTTTGGATTTTTCTTAAGAATTGAAGAACAATTCTTTCACAAAAGGGGTGGACGGCTAAGACTAAGAAAGCAGCAGCTCTTTTGACTTTTGTGTTTTCTCTAATTTTTAATTTTGCTAAAGTTTTGCTTTTATAGCAAAACCCTAACCATATTCCACATTGGAATAGGTTTAAATCTATTCCTAAGTGGAATAGCATTAAAGGTATTTTACTTAATTAAAATTATTAAATTAATATATACATAATTATAGATATGTAATTTGCTAAATTTAATGCCAATATAAAATCAGACACAGGCAACAACCTTAACGAATCTAATTACACAGCAAAATTACCAAATTGCCCTTACGTTTAGAAAGACGAAAATGCCTCTTAAACGAAAATCCTCAAACTACTTTCTATGTGTGTAACCCATAGGCTCCCTAATATATTGGTAGTGAGTAGTATGACAATTAACCACCAATTAATCGTCTCACTACACACAGACCAAGATTGGCCTCTAGCTAGACATCATTGTCACCCAATATATAGGGATCAGCGAAGTACTGATACCTGTCAACGGTATGGTTACCGTACAATTCAATCCTTTCATCATTTGTTATCTCATCAAAACTGAGGTACACAAGTAGTGTCAACCTCAGATATTCTTGATATCTTGGTATTCAGTTATTGAACCAATGACTAGAATAATAAATTGGATTGAGTAATAACTCAATCCCACTATGGCCACATATTTAGTGTCATTGTCATTTATCGAATTGTGCAATAAGATAACTTTTCCTGTACCTTGGAGTGATGAATCCTCGGTTCGCTAGAGTAGGTGCCCTAGAGCTAATCATATTTGACTCTTCATAACATCATGGTTATCAAATAAAGTCATTCTTATATATCATGTAAATCATATTCTTATATGATTTGATACATGTCCTTAGAGTAATAGAACTGTGACGAGGGAATCAAGTGTTTTAAATCATAATCGTGAGGACCTTATGATCACATATGATGGCCATTCTAGAAATATCCATAGCCTTAGTATTATTCTGACCAAGGGCATAGATAATACAATAAGGCTATCATAGCGTTGAACGACCCTACTAAAAGGTAGTGACAAATCTCACATGTCAAAGTTGTTTAGTGACAACTTGGTGCGATGCACGGGTGCTTGTTGTCTACAAGTTGATTAGACTGACCCACTAGAGGATTCCATATGGATGGTAACCCTAGTGTCTATGGAACAAATTCTCTAATAGATGGTGGTGTATATGATCCTTAGCCTTGAGATCATTGGAGTGTATTATGTACCATCAGTGTAGTTTGACACTAGCCTAACGTAGTCCTCTTTAAGGCTATCAGTACAATAATGATTGGCTGTATTGAGAAGAATATTGAGGCTATGATGGATCAATATAGAATTTATCACTCCTGGGTACAGCAGAGAGTTATCCCACTGCGCAATTTGGTTAAGTGGATATGACACATAAATCTATGGCCATAGTGGGATTGAGTTGTTGCTCAATCCAATTTTAATTTGGTCGTCAATCCAATAACCAAATACCAACACATTAGAATAACATCTGAGGTTGACACTATTTGTATGTCTTAACCTAATGGGATAACTAATGATGAAAGGATT